TCCGGCTCATTTCAACCAGCGGGTTTCAGGTCTCTTGTTAGGCAGCTAAAAATACTCCCACAAACTGCACATTCACAGCCTGCTGAAAGAAAGAAAAAAACACTTTGACTATCTTTTTCTGACAGATTAGTACTTTCATTTTAGAATTCTAAAGACTATGTGTACATTCATAAAATGTGTCATAGAGTTAGTACTCAGAAAAACTACTGAAGGGAATGCAGAATAAGTTGTCTGGTGTTGGGATAATAACATCAACTGTTATCCATGCCTGATTTATTGTTTAAATGTTAAATAAACAGGTTAACATGATGTAATTTTTATAAAACATTTGTTATCATGTGAATAAGTTGGTGAAGATTCTCAATCAACATTAGAAATGGGATGAATGGCTCTTTGTGGGGATCCAGAGATTTGATGACCTGAATGTCACATATGTGAATATTAACATCTTTACTTGCATTATGAGAAAATCTGATTAACAGAGTGGTGATATATGTTATTTCCTTAGTGACAGAACCTGTTGTGTGATGATGTGTGAAAACATTACACTTCTCTTTTATTTCCAAAAAAAAAAAAAAAAGAAACACTGAGCAGACAGGATAATCTAGTAGCAATGGGAAACCCAGAACATGACGGGGCATGAGAATACAGGGGAGGATCCCAACACGTAGTAACGGAAAACGTGTACCTAGCTGTACTGAGGGACATTACAAGGATTACAAACAGAGTGTGGGAAATGTAGAAACAAATATTAATCAGAACAAGAAAAGGCAAACAAAACAGAAACAGAAAACAAAACCAAAAAACTACAAGTGAAAAAAACGAACCACTGGTTTTGCCTTTAGCAGAAAAACATGAGAATCAGTTTGTGTCACTGCAGAAAAACAAATCAATAGCTATATTTGGATGAGTGCCATGTAGTTTTGCAACCCTAGAGCATATTACATAGCATTCCTTAAAGAATGCACATCATCTACTGTTTTGCATGCAAAGTTTTTAAATACATATCTCAGTGCTCAGAGTACATGTTGAGAGTGAAGCCTGGTTTATACTTGAACAATACATGAGAAAGGGTATCAGTGACTTTGGACATTCTTGCCATACTAACTGTTTATATTCACATAAAAGATGTGGGGGATGAATTATCATAATTTCTCTCTCTGCCCTCCCACATCACTTTCACTGTAGCAGACGTCAAGTATAGCTAACCCCTAATTTACACTACATGCGTTCTGGCTCCGCTCTGCTACCATGTGCAGGTCGCAGCTGTTCATTTGAGTCTCAATTTATACAGCGTCCGCTCAGGTCCGACAGAGGGTGTGCAGGAAGGAGATTGCGCAATAAATCCAGTGATGTGGAAGTCACAGCAAAAATAATTAATTTTGTGAAAGACAAACTCTAAACACAGCTGAAAGCATAAATATAAAGGCTTTTGATATTTATGTTGACATTGTATCGCTGTCATCTTTCTGAAACTTCTGATTTCAAAATTAAATCCACGTGTATCGCGTGTGTACACATATGCTTCATGCTACTTGTTTCCATCTTCTTCCCAAACAGGACAATTAATTCTGACAGCATTTGTGTAGAAGTATATCCATGTATTCATTAATATAGCTGGGATTTCGACATTATTCAGACAAATTATCCCGCCTAATAGTGTCTTATTTTGTAAATACGGATGTTGTGCTCGTTTCTTTTCCTGTTGGTGCGACGTACTCCTTGAAAATTAACTCCGGTGCAGCTCCTGCGTCCAGCAAAAATAGGATCTGTTCTAATTTTGCCGGTCTGCCATCCTTGCACCGCCGCTCACCACCGCCGTGCGCAGCCATTGTAAACACTCTCATTGATTATAATGGGTGTGTATTTGCTGTGGAGGTCGGACCGGAGCGGAACGGGGCCAGAACGCATGCAGTGTAAATTAGAGGTAAGCAAATAAACGACAACAGTGACATCAGGATAGAGAGGTGTTTTTTTTTTCACACAATGATGTATTAATTGAGGGGCTTGTGTTGCTGAATAAGGAGTCAAAGGAAAAAGAAAAAAATTATTGTTAGGTGCTGAGATAGAAAGAAGATGTGAATGTCAGTGGCATGTTTGCCTGCTCAATTGGACCAGATGAGCTGCTCCTCAAAGTTGTCCATCTTGCAAAATGAACAAATGAAGTGGACCATTTTCAGCAAAACAACACACAAAAACGTGCTGCTCTCCATAAAATAACACACCCACAAAGTTCTGACCAATCACACACTACACATCATGTAGGTCTGCAAGACAGAGTTCCAATTGAAATCAATGTTCAAGACAGGTGTCAAAAGCTGTAAATTTGGCTGTTTTGTATTGGCTAAGGTTGGTTAGCTGTGGCAGCTATCCTGAATTTGATAGATTTCCCTCACTACAGGCCAATCTGCCCTTGATTAAAACACTGAACCTCAAGTCACCTGTCATTGTGTGAGAATGTGTTGTGCTTTAACTGATCAAAACATCAAGGAAACCCACAATTATTGCCACTATAATGATGGGTAATAATAACTCCACTATATATCTTGAAGATAAAGTGGTGAACAAGTATGTCTTGGTGTTATCCTTATGTTCCCCAGTACCTAAGTTCCTTGGTGCCTAAGTTCTCCATTACCTATACTCCTTGGTACCCATGTTCCTTGGTACCAAAATTCCTTGGTACCTACATTCCCCTGTATGTAAGTTCCTTGGTACCTAAGTTCTCCAGTACCTATGTTCCTTGGGACCTATGTTCCTTGATACTTATGTTCTTTGGTACCTATCTTAACCGGGAACTACATTCCTTGTTACCTACATTCATTGGTACCTATGTTCCCTGATACCTATGTTCCTAAATATCCAAGTTCCTTGGTACCTTTGTTCCCTGGTACCTATATTCCCTGGTACCTATGCTCCCTGGTACCTAAGTTCCTTGGTACCCATGTTCCTTGGTACCTATGTTTCCTGGCACCTATATTCCCTGGTACCTATGTTCCCCAATACCTACATTCCTTGGTACCTAAATTCCCTGGTACCTAGGTTCCTTGATATCCATGATCCTTGGTGCCTATGTTCCCCTGTTCCTAAATTCCTTGGTACCTAAGTTCTCCAGTACCTATGTCCCCTGGTACCTATTTTCCTTAATGCCTATGTTCGTTGGTACCTATCTTCTCCGATACCTACATTCCTTAGTACCTACATTCATTGGTACTTATGTTCCTTGGTACCTATATGCCCTGGTACCTATGATCCCTGGTACCTAAGTTCCTTAATATCCATGTTCCTTGGTACCTATGTTCCCCTGTACCCAAATTCCTTGGTACCTAAGTTCTAAAGAACCTATGTTCCCTGGTACCTATGCTACTTAATACCTATGTTCCTTGGTACCTATCTTCCCCGGTACCTACATTCCTTGGTACCTGCATTCATTGGTACCTAAGTTTCTTGGTACCCATGTTCCTTGGTACCTATGTTCCCTGGTACCTATATTCCCTGGTACCTATGTTCCCTGATACCTACATTCCTTGGTACCTACATTCATTGGTACCCATGTTCCCTGGTACCTAAGTTCCTTGATATCCATGTTCCTTAGTACCTATGTTCCCCTGTGCCTAAATTTCTTGGTGTCTAGGTTCTCCAGTACCTATGTTCCTTGCTACCTATGTTCCTTGGTACCTATGTTCCCTGGTACCTATATTCCCTGGTACCTACAGTATGTTCCCTGGTACCTACATTCCATGGTACCTACATTCATTGGTAACTATGTTCCATGGTACCTAAGTTCCTTGATATCCATGTTCCTTGTTACCTATGTTCCCCTGTACCTAAATTCCTTGGTACCTAATTTCTCCAGTACCTATGTTCCCTGGTACCTATGTTCCTTAATGCCTATGTTCCTTGGTACCTATCTCCCCCAGTACCTACATTCCTTGGTACCCACATTCATTGGTACCTATGTTCCTTGGTACCTATGTTTCCTGGTACCTATATTCCCTGGTACCTATGTTCCTTGGTACCTAAGTTCCTTGGTATCCTTGTTCCTTGGTACCTATGTTACCCGGTACCTATGTTCCTTGGTACCTACATTCTTTGGTACCTTTGGTCCCTGGTACCTACATTCCTTTTTACCTACATTCCTTGGTACCTATTCCTTGGTACCCTTGTTCTCTGGTACCTATGTTGCCTGTTACCTAAGTTCCCAGGCACCTGTGTTTCCTCATACCGAAGTTCCCCAGTACCCATGTTCTTCATGTTCTTTTTGTGTTCCCCAATATTTATTTTTCCAGATATGTTCCTGGTGCTTATGTTCTCATTTCAGCTATATGACAATGGAAGTCATAGAAGATGCTTGGTCCTTTCTTGAAGTCTTTTGATACAACTGAAAAAATACTGAATTAAAGTATTTTTAAAATTCTCAAATAAAAATCATGTATTTTATTTTTCCAGAATGAATCAAGTTCACGAAGCTCTACTTTGTTAGTTAAACATTACTTTGCTGACTCTCTGCTCTCATTAAATAATGTAGCACAGGCAGACACTCGTGAATGAGAGTGCTTCTCATGTTTCCAGAAAGTGCCTCAAAAATTCAAACCCATGTCTGCGTGCATGGACAGAAACATTTACCGTGATTAAAAGCAAGCTTTCAGCACTCTCCAGCCTTCACAGAAAGCTAAACAAACACACTGAAATGGCTCACAGCAAGAAATGTTTTTCAAGTAACAGTTTTCTGTCAGGCACAATGATGTCCCCATGTTTTCACACAAATGACTCACAGATTCCTTTGTGAGAAATTAGAGCAAACCTGGAAGAGTGAGCCTGCAGGTATGAACACATCCCTGATTGGCTGTGTGGTTCCTGAGCCTTTACTTTAGTCTAGTCATTGCAAAGCTGACTGTGATAACGCTTGCTTCGAACATTCAACCACAATCCATTTATCTTATTTGGGCTTCATTTTTACTCAGAAACACTTGTTTTGAGACAGTAGGGGATACGCAGTGAACAAAGAGCATTGTTGTCCACAGCTGCTGTGTTGCACCGGTGTGCAGAGAGTGGTAACAGCTGGAACATACTTACACACACTGCTCCTCCCATGTTTTCACTCATCCCCATTCTGAGTTGCTTTAAGCAGCTCCACTTGAGCTGTTGTGGGGCAGTCGCTTTCTGAATGTCTCCCACTCACAACACCCTCCCTGGTTCTCTGGATCTCTGCCTCTCTCCTTCCCTCTGATGCTCCTGTGTTGGCGGCTGCTTCTCTGCATCTCATCCTCAGTGTCTCCCTCCTACACCAAACACTGCCAGCCTTGATCTGCACAGACAGCTCCTCAAGGTAAGGTCCTCAGCATGTTATGTTCAATTTCACACATTAGTGTATATTTAAGATATGTGCAGGAAATGGTGTAAAATATAATGGAGTTAGTTTTTGTTGAAGTATAATGCAGCTAAAGTCCAACTTATCTACTGTAAATCAGTTAACGTTTCAGTTCACCATTCAGCCTGCAACTGAAGGAACAAAATGTGCTCAGTACTATTTTTTACTCCAAACTTTATATTGCTGTGTTTTTAAACTTTTTGTTTGACTTTAATTGTTCAGGATATATTTTTTTAGATAACTTGTTGATGTAGAGGCTGACATAACAGAGGCATGGCATTTGTAGGTGCGTAACACTTTTTTTAAATGCTACAGCATTTTAAGAAACAGTAATAAAGTGAATTTAATAATATCTGTCTTACAATTTTAACTTGACTTGGTACATTTTTTACGATTATTAACAATTTCAAACCTTTTAAAGTGATTGTCTCTGAATCATTCGATCAGATGAATAATATTTGCATGAACATCTTGAACAAGTTGCACACATTTATTTACTGCGTTCAGCAGCTCATTATGTTCCAGAGAAGACTCTGATGCTACAAAGGCCAAACTTTCAAGATGCCTCTTCACTAGATAGATGCAGATCTGTTGAGGTGAACCAGCTGAATTGCTGAGGAATGACCGCTGGCTGATCAATATCCTTGTTGCGAGGAGTCGAAAGGGCTGTGAAAAATGCAAGCAGAACAAAATTAGCTGCAAAACCTGAAGTGAGCAGAAACCAGTTATCTCCCATTATCTCCATTTAGTGCTACCACCTGGTTGAAGTGCTCAGAAGTATAAGGTGTCAGGTTGGAGAAATGGCCAAGTTAATGGAAGCTGAAACACAAGCACCACTGAAACTCCCTGACAGTTTGGAGTATCAAGTTTGGCATATGTTTATTTTAATATATATTATTGTTTATAATCAGATTTATGAACAAATCAAATGTGAATGAATGGCTCTTCATTTATAGCAGAAAGCCTGTGGCTTGGTTACTGATTTGAATCATTTTTAGTCAGACGTCAGCAAAGGTGTCACTCTCATCAGGGTAATGATTTTACTAAACACTTTACAGGTTGAAGAGAAAAATCAAAGACAAAATCACAAATATTTTACTAACTGGAATTCATAAAATGTTCCCCCCTGTCCATGCACATTGTTATTTTTTCTCTGGGTTTTACAGTTTTCTTTTGCAAATCATGTTTTGTTAATTAGAAACTAAACTACCCATTGTAGGGAGGACACACATATGAGTCTGGAACCACAGAGATTTTGTCTTTCGAAAAAACAACAGTTAAAAAATCAATTTCAATGATTAATAATTTTTGAAATCTTAAAGGAATGATTATCAGCCACCATCTTTTAAACAGTGATCATCTTATGATAAGAAAGACTGGAGTTTTGATCAAACCTTTAAAACAACACTATTCCTGAACTCCTGTAAGATAAACCTCACAGTATGTGTTGTGAATGACTCAACTACTCCCACATCAAATTTTAGCTCATTTTCTGCAACATTAATAAAGTAATAAACAATTTTGTGTTGGCTAATATCGATTAGCTTTGCCCGCTATCTTGCATTGGATTGACCTAAAATTTTAGTAAATACAATGTAAATACAATGATTATTTTATTTTCAGAAAGTTTCATTATATTCTGTCCAGTGTTTCCTGACATATTTTGCTAAGAGAAAGATTGAGTTGACTCCAAATAATTTTTGACATTTTAAACTAAAACTTTGTGAAATCTGTTAGCACTCGGAATGTGTTGGAGATCAGTCCCAGCTTCTACCACACCAGATTTTAGGTCAATACTTGTAAAACTGGACTCAGATCCATTTATAGTCTTTTTCAAGGTCAGTTGGCTGTGGAAGCCATCTCAAATTGGATTGACTCCCAAAGTTAATCAGTTGTAAATACTACAAATGCAAATATTACTTCCTGCAAGTTGCATAAAAATGTCTGGTGGTTCAGGAGATAGTTTGCAGCAGACAGAGAGTTGAGCAAAAACATTATCATTATCATTATTACCTGTCTTGACTTTTTGGTGGTGGTTGATGAAAATGTGTCACTTATGCAACAGACAAACAAATGACAAATGTTTGTAAAAAAAATGTTAAACTTTATGTCAACAGGAGCTTGCCATAAAGTTCAGTGACACTGATTTGTTATTCCTAAAAAGTTGGTCAAAAATTTAATGTGTGGTCAGAGTTTGTGTTTTCATAACACAACATGACATGAGTGATAAGAACATGAGCTCATTAATGTATTTGTATTTATCTAAAAGTGGTGGCACTTTCTAAAACTTTCAGCAGAAAAAGAAAGATATAACTTTAATAGTTGTATTTAGGTTATTGCACGCAATCACTTGCTAAGGGCAAAAAATAATAATTTTGTTTTCTTTGTGCAAACAAAGCACACTGTATTTATTATTCCAACCTTAATAATTTTTTGTCATGTTTCATAATGACAAAAAGGAAAAGAAAAAGAAATAAAAATAGGCTCAGGCATGTTCATCGGAAATTAGTGTCATCCTTTTGTATCCCTGCTGGCAAATGTTTTTAGTCATGCACCAGCCTCATAAAAAAGAATCTCACAATTGTTGTGAATCTTTAAAGTGTGTTTTAGATCATTTTCTTGATGGAGGAGCCTTTTTATCCCACTTTCTATGGCCAAATACTGTCATTGTGAGGGGATTAGCCATAGTTTGCTGTATTGTATCATATTTTCTTTTCCAGAGCAGAATCTGATTTAGTGTCTGAGGTTTTGTCAAAAGATTTCGTTTTCCTTCACCTTTGATCTGCTCAATAAAAGATGCATTATTCCATTTTATAGATATAATTAAATTGTGAATGCCTTTAGGAAATGCATTCATCCTTTATTCATCTAAGCACCTGGATTAGGAATTATTTTAGCTCTTTTGTAGCTCAAAAACATTGAAAAACCTTTGCAACATCACTACATGGCACAAATCTCCACACAGACATATGAAAATACAGAATGGCTAAAGAGTTTCTTAAAATCAGTTTTTTTATACAGTTTAAGATTTTCTCTCAGTTCTCCACAATTTTAACACATAAAGTTTATAGGCGACACAATCAGGATGAAACAGGAAAACAGTAAAAACATTTCATTGTTGCCTTTTTGGGCACCAAGAAATCAATGAAATGTACAGAAGAGAAAACTTTATATATTTTTATTGAATATCAGTTTTATTCATAAATAAATAAATAAATAAATAAATAAATAAAGAAACACCCATGTGTGGACAGGAGGTGGAAACAAAGCAGATAATGTCTTACAGGATAGGGTTTTTATCTTTGGAAACTTGTTCTATCATAAAACCTGTCTTTAAAAGGGCATAACTTTTAAATTGTAATAACTGTAGGAGGTTCAGAGACAGAGGCCAATTTCAAGGCATTTAGTTTTTTTGTTTTTTGATAATTATAGAGTTTTTATAACAACTGACGGCAACATAGTTATGTGACTGTGGTATAGAATTGAACTACGTGCCTAGAAAATACATAATGCTCCCCCCCCCCCCCCCAAAGCTTTTTAAAAAGAATTATTACAGTTGATTTATACAGTTGTTTTTGCCTATGCGCCTAACAACAGTTCAGACTAACCACCCATTTTGGAGTCCTTGAATGGGGTGCTGGAGGGTGCTCCTAATGAAGACTCCCTTGTTCTGCTGGGGGACTTCAACACTCACATGGGCAATGACAGTGAGCCCTGGAGGGCGTGGTTGGGAGGGAACCCACCCCCCAATCTGAACCTGAGCAGTGTTTTGTTATTGGACTTCTGTGCTCATCATGGTTTGTCCACAATGAGCACCATGTTCAAACATAAGGGTGTCCATATTTGCTCTTGGCACCAGGACACCCTAGGCCGCAGTTCAATGATCAACTTTGTTGTCGTTTCATCTGATCTGTGGCCGCATGTCTTGGACACTCGGGTGAAGAGAGGGGTGGAGCTGTAAAGTGACCACTACCTGGTGGTGAGTTGGCTCCGTTGGTGGAGGAGGATGACTAGCAGACCCAAACGTACAGTGAAGGTCTGCTGGGAACATCTGGCAGTCTCCCATCAGAGCTTCAACTCACACCTCTGGGAGAAATTTGAACACATTCTGGGGGAGGTGGGGGATATTGAGTCTGAGTGGGCCATGTTCCGTACCTCCATTGTCGAGGTGGCTTACCTGAGCTGTGGCCTTAAGGTTGTCGGTGCCTGTCATGGCTGCAACCCTTGAACCCGCTGGTGGACACCGGCAGTGAGGGATGCTGTCAGGCTGAAGGAGTCCTATCAGGTCTTTTTGGCCTGTGGGACTCCGGAAGCAGCCGATAGGTATTGGCAGTCCAAGCGGATTGCGGCTTGGGTGGTCGCTGAGGCAACAACTCAGGCATGGAAGGAGTTTGGAGAGACCATGAAAAAAGACTTCCGTACGGCTTTGAGGTGATTCTGGTCCACCATCCGGCGTCTCGTGGTTGGGGGGGGGGGTGTTCACCACCAACACTATTTATGGTGGGGATGGTGTGCTGCTGACCTCAACTCGGGACGTTGTGGGTCAGTGGGCAAAATACTTCGAAGATCTCCTCAGTCCAACTGACATTCTTCTCATGAGGAAGCAGAGCCTGAGGACCATGGGTTGGACTCTCCAATCTATGGTGCTGAGGTCACCGAGGTGGTTAAAAAGCTCCTCGGTGGCAAGGTGCCGGGGGGTGGATGAGATTCGCCCCGAGTTCCTTAAGGCTCTGGATGTTGTGGGGTTGCGTTGGTTGACGTGACTCTACAGTATCACGTGGACATTGGGGGCAGTTCCCCTGGATTGGCAGACTGGGGTGGTGGTACCCCTATTTAAAAAGGGGGACCGCAGAGTGTGTTCCAATAGGGGAATCACACTACTAAGGCTCCTTGGTAAGGTCTATTCAGGGGTTCTTGGAGAGGAGGGTCCATCGGATAGTTGAATCTCTGATTCAGGAAGAGCATTGTGGTTTTTGTCCTGGTCGTGGAACAGCGGACCAGCTCTATACCCTCAGCAGGCTCCTGGGGGGTGCATGGGAGTTTGCCAAATCAGTCTACATGTGTTTCATGGACTTGGAGAAGGCATTTGACCGTGTCCCTCAGGGACTCCTGTGGGAGTTACTCCGGGAGTATGGGGTACCACTGGTACTGTACCAGGCCCGTTGATACAGGCTGTTAGGTCCCTGTACGACCGGTGCCAGAGCTTGGTCCACATTGGACTCATTTCCGGTGAGAGTTGGACCCTGCCAAAGTTGCCCTTTGTCACCGATTCTGTTCATAACTTTTATGGACAGAATTTCTGGGCGCAGCCAAGGTGTTGAGGGGATCCTTTTTGGTGACCTTAGGATCACATCTCTGCTTTTTGCAGATGATGTGGTCCTATTGGCTTCATCAGATCGTGATCTCCAGCTCTCACTGGAGCAGTTCGCAGCCGAGTGTGATCGGCTGAGATGAGGATCAGTACCTCCAAATTCGAGACCATGGTCTTGAGCCAGAAAAGGGCAGGTTGAACTTCTCCGGGTCGGGGAGGAGGTCCTGCCCCAAGTGGAAGAGTTTAAGTATCTTGGGGTATTGTTCACGAATGAGGGAGGAATGGAGAGGGAGATCGACTGGTGGATTGGTGCTGCATCTGAAGTGATGCGAGTGCTGTACCGGTCTGTCATGGTGAAGCGAGAGCTGAGCCAGAAGGTGAAGCTCTCGATTTATTGGTTGGTCTACGTTCCTACTCTCATCTATGGTCACGAGCTTTGGGTAGTGACTGAAAAAACGAGATCGCAGAAACATGTGGCTGAAATGAGTTTCCTTCACAGGGTGTCTGCACTCTCCCTTAGAGATAGGGTGAGAAGCTCAGTCATCCGGGAGGGACTCAGAGTAGAGACGCTGCTCCTCCACATCGAGAGGAGCCAGTTGAGGTGGCTCAGGCATCTGGTTAGGATGCCTCCTGGATGCCTCCCTGTTTAGGTGTTCCGGGCACGTTCCACTGGGAGGAGGCCTAAAGGAAGACCCAGGACACGCTGGAGGGACTGTTTCTCAGCTGGCCTGGGAACATCTTGGGATTCCCCCAGATGAGCTGGCCTAAGTGGTCGGGGAGAGGGAAGTCTGGTTCTCTCTGCTTAGGCTGCTGCCCCTGTGACCCAAACCCGGATAAGTGACAGAAAATGGACAGACAGACGGACGGATAGACAGTTGATTTAAAAAAGTAGCTAATCACATTTCTTGTGGACCCCCCGCCCCCACATAAATTACTGCAGTGTCAAATATCTCTGTTTTTTACAACATCATTAGATGATCATTTTTTGCAGTGTGAGTAAGAATTTTGGAAATGGCTGTAAGCCCAGGAACGTATTTATATATTTACATTTTTTAACCTCCCAAACATTTCTTCTGTTTCTGCATCAAAACCTGACTGACCTGGAATGAAACAAATCTTTCTGTCTCTGAGAACAAACAGATGTATCAAAGTGGTTCCAGACACACAGCGATTATAAACATTTGGGACTTTCCGTAGTTTATAGTGAAACAAAAAGGTGTAAAAGAGTAACACAGATCATATTTGAAAATCTAAAGCACCATATGTTTTTATCCAATACAATAGTAATGTTGAATTTTACTGTTGTAATGTTCCCAAGCCAAACCCCCATTGTCCTCACTTCACTTCCAAACTGTCAGTGTTGTGAACAGAGTGATCATGTACTTACTGTAATTTAGTACAACTGCACTCATCTTCATGTTGGGACTAATTAGCCATGACATGATTACTCTCTGGGTTTAATAAGACAACTAAGTTTTTTACAAGCCTCATCATATTTGATTTTATTTCCTTTCTGATTGGCACTCAAAGACTGCAAAGTATTTTCTTATGTGTTTGCTGACATACTCAATCATTAAAATCACACCCCGAATCTTTCTGCAAAGTCAAATCTACTTTGGCACTAAGGTGGAAAAACATTACACTGAACAAACGCAGCAATGCCCTGCCGATCATAAGGATCATGAGGCTCCTTTTCAGTAACTGCTTGGTGCATTAGATGTGCCTTTAGTGAAACTATCCCAGCGCAGTCATCACTGTTTCCGACAATTAAGTCAAATAATACATTTACTTCATATCATTCAAAGGGTACTGCAGTTAGTGTGCGTCTAGATTTCTTTTCAAAAGCCTTTAGTGAAAGCTTTAACTCTGTTTCGCCGACAGGAAATGGCTCCCAAAAAGAAAGTGGGCTACAAGTGTCGCATAGCAGGAGTGATTTTTCTCCTGTTGGCCGGTATTGCTGCCCTCGTTGCTGTTGCTGTTATCCAGAAAACATTAAAGAGTCAAGAGTACGGCATGGAGGTGAATACACACACAATCATCAGCACAGATCTCTTTGGATGCATTCAGAACTCATGCATGCTTTGCAACTCATTCAGAAACCTTAGGCTTCTCTACTTTTTAGCAAAGTTTTAAAAGAAAATATTCAATGAACACTTGAGGTATTAGTGTAATACCTGCTGTAAATTCGTAGTTGCATTGATGATTCAAATGTCTGTTCACTAATAGGAACCCTGGATCAAAGAAAGCTTATTAATGGATACATATTGAAAGGGAAAGGTCAACACAAAAGGAAAGGGTAAAGCATGGAGAGTATGTCTTTACTCAGGGAGCTAAGAATGGGAATGCATCTTCCTGGACTACTTGTTCCTTTGGTTTGTGGTTTGTAAGAAGGGAAAAAATATCAGATGGGAGATTAAACAGACGATGATGTAGTTAAACACACCCTTTTATGATAGACATAAAATGATTTACAGTGCTGCATAGTTTTTGTTCCAGAGGCTGTGTTCTAATACACTGTGTGTATAGTGTGATACAGTATGCTGGTATATGATTATATGACTTTATCAAAGTTTTCCTAATCATTCTGTTTGTAACAGTATGGGATAGTGATAGACTCTGGTTCATCCCGTTCCAATGTGTACCTGTATGAATGGCCGGGGGAGAAGGAGAATGAGACAGGAGTCGTGACGGAGAAAATGAACTGTAAAGTTGAAGGTAAAATAACAAAAAAATCCCCCCCTCCACAAAAAAAATGTATGTTTAAAAAAATAAATAAAGACATAATCATAGCACAACTTTATCTCCACAGGTGTTGCCATCTCAGGTATGAAGGTTGATCCTCAGTCAGATGCGCAAACATGGAGAGGATTTGAAAATTGTATAAGTAAAATCAAAGAAACCATTCCTACTGAAAAGCACGGAAGAACACCTCTCTTTCTGGGAGCTACAGCTGGAATGAGACTGCTACAGTAAGAATGGTTTTAGTTATTCCTGATAATGACACATCAGTGCATTTTATTTTATTCCTGTCTGGTTCGGATAGCTTTATTCAGATTTCTGCTGATACTGAGATTTTTATGACCTATAGCTTTATGTGAACTATAGGATTGTTGTTTTCTTATTATAATTTGTGAGATACACCCCTTTCATACCTGGCACTAACATCTGTCCTGAGCACTTGAATGGCATATGGATATTGCTCAATACAGATCTGAATGGACTCAATACACATTGATGACGTCTTCACGACCGCCTTTGGAAGTGGGAAGATTTTATTCACATATTTGCTAGTCTAAACACAATTTAACCAGAGCTACATTACATGCATATATAACCTGCATGTCTGAGTTTTAAAAACATCTGCCTCAGCTGCTAACTGGTTTAAGATGACTAAGACACCATCTCTGGGATTGTTCTGAAGACAACAGTCTAGATGCCTTGAAGATCGTAGTTTCAATCCACAGGTCGGAGCAGGGACCTTTCTTTTTGGAGTTTGCATCTTCTCTTCATGCTTGCACAGATTTTCTCTGGGTTTTCTCCTCCCACAGACCAAATACAGTTATGTTAGGCTGCCTTCCACTTGTTGCTGAGGCAGCAGTTTGAGCAAGGATGACAAAACTCTCTTTCACCACCCTCCTCTTCCAGCCCCACTGGAAGGATTCCAAGGCTTTCCCAAGCCAAACGAGAGTCTCTCCACCATGTCCTGGGTCTTTTCCTGGGTCTCTTCCCAGTCGGACATGCATGAAGCATCTTTCTGGAGAGGCACCCAGGGAGCATCCTTACCAGATGCCTGAACCACATCAACTGGATCCTTTCGATATGGGGGAGTCTCCACATCTCTGAACGTCTCACCCAATCTATGATGGAGAGCCGAGCTACCATGTGGAGAAAACTCGTTTCAACCTCCAAGATCCAGGATCTTGTTCATTTGATCACTACCCAAAGTTTGTTGCCATAGGTGAGGGTAGGAACATAGACGGACATGTAAATGTTCCCAGGCCTCTGTTGCAAAAAAGATCTGTGATTTTAAAGGGATTTGCTTGGTTATTTAAATGTAAATACATAAAATAAACAGTGAACCTGTTCAGTTCACAGTTTTTCTGTGGAATTTGTAGGTTTTATAGGTTAAAATCTTAAGCCTTTGCTCTGATGCAGAGAACTGTAAAGTCTCAAATTATATTATGCTCTTTTACTTCTACTGCATCACATCTGTTATAAGGAATATCAACAGAGCTATTGTCACACTGTTGCTCATGGACAACACACTGTGGGTCATGGCTACATGTGAATATTATCTGATCTCTGATCTGATCTGAACATGTGGTAATGTAATGGTAAATGGTAAGGTAAAGAGATGTGAACGAGGTTGTAGAGAGACATGCTACACAAAACTTTTCATCAAAACTAAAGTGTATATTTTAGTAAAATATTTCTTTTACCAATGTTTTCTGTGATTAGCATGGTTAGCATTGCTATCTGTAACAACAGGCAGAATGAACACATAGACACTGTTTATTACTGCCTTTAATATAAATTTTCTTAAAGTTTTATCGTAGGTTGCCAACATTTCCATCTTGCTTTTCTCTGTTTTTGAAGTCAGAAAGATGAACAGAAATCGAATGAAATCATGGATAGTCTTAGAGAATACCTGATTTCATCGTCCTTCGACTTCCAGAACGCTTCCATCATCACCGGACAGGAAGAAGGGCTGTATGGGTGGATCACGGTCAACTACTTGATGGGAAATTTCTTGGAGGTAGGACAGTAGGAGCAGTACTATATGTTCTATTTGAAGTTACTCATCTTGTTCCTGTTTACAGAAAAACCTATGGAACACTTACGTGCGTCCACACGGGTCAAAGACAGTCGGCTCCATGGACCTTGGTGGAGCATCAACACAGATTGCCTTTCAAGTTGAGGAGAATGGAAATGGGTCTGACTACTTGAAGGTCAAACTCTACGGTTACCCCTATACGGTCTACACTCACAGTTTCCTCTGCTATGGCAAAAATGAAGCAGATAAGAGGATTCTTGACAAGATAATCCAGGTATACGACTTGTCCTTTGTGTACAGATGAAAGCAAACATGTTTGTGAAAGTTATAATTACTGGGGTTGGGTTCTCACTACATTTGCACTCAGATGTGTCATTAGAACTGGACTTCTGGGGTTAAAGCCCCAAATGTTCCATCAATAGCCTGGGATCAAAATGAGACCAGCTTTCCCACCGCTCTCCTCTCCTCTCCTCTACTCTCCTCTAGGAGTGGGACGGTGTGAATGTGTCACTCTCATCTTATCCATTTGTGCTTCCAAGCTGTGTGCGTGTGTGGGAGGAGGGAGATGGGTTATTTTTTTCATGAGCATCTCACAGCAGTGGGGCTGAAGTTATCAAAATTACTCTATGTTGGCTATGAAGAGCAACTTCTCAGCTTTCAGAATGCCATTAGAATTTTTCTGTTGCAAACTTGCAGTAAGTGGAAGCTTGTAAAATCTGTCTCATCTGTGGCAGATTTGTAAAATGAATTCATGCTTTCTGTGAGGATATACGGTAAATGCTGTATGTCATATTGCAATTTTATGTTTTTGTAAAGGGGTGGCCACCCCTGAAAAAGCTATTTAAATAGCAGGAAAATGCATAGTTTTGAGCATTTTTTTTTCAGAGGGTTCAACATCTGTGGAAAACAGGGAACCCCCTGTTGTCCCTAAGCTCAATAATGCAAACCATTGACTGGTGAAAAAAAAAGTAAAAATCCTAACAAACAGGCAGAAGAACCAGACAGTATCTTGGTGATTGTTCATACAGTGCTGTGAAAAAAAATGTATTTGTCCCTTCCAGACTTCTTCTCTAAGCTGGGAAGACACTGTATACAAAATAGGTCCAAACTGAAATAAGTAAAATCATAACTAAAGAGCTTCCTGAGATTACTTAAGAAAGGAACCAACTTTCATGTAAAAGCCAAAATCCATTAATGTGCTGTAAGAACTGATTACTGAAGACCAGTCAAGAATGCATTATGTCATTAAGAGTATTGATTGAACCATCAATGTCATCACATTAGCCGGGAAGAAATGCAATATTTCTGGTAACTTGCAGTTCTATTAATGGATTTATGGTCATGCCAAAAATGCTTTGTATGAATGAAAATTGGGTGTACATTTCTTGTTGGTTCATGGCTTGAAATATTAACTTGAAGATTTGTTTAATGTTTCAGGCATCATCTGACCCGACCTACATCAGAAACCCTTGCTACCCCGAAGGATACAACACCACCATGATCGCCTCAGACGTTTACAACTCGGAGTGCACGACAAAACCCAAAACCTACAACTTGAATCAAAACTTCTTTCTGGTTGGGGATCCAGACTCCGAGAAATGTGGAGAAATTGTGAAGTCCATATTTGATTTCAAAACCTGTTCATCATCACAGTGTTCCTTTAATGGGGTTGAGCAGCCACCCGTCACTGGAGAGTTCATGGTATCATTTATTATGACAGGTCAAAAGGAAGAAGTGAATACATAAAAATAATAATGATTTTTTTGTTTTTTTCTGCTAGGCATATGCTGGATTCTACTATCTTACCAGAGCTCTGCTTTTAAATGGCACAACAGATCTTGATCAGTTCAAGGCATCAGTTGGGAACTTCTGCAGCACACATTGGACAGTGGTAGGTTCTCCAAAATCATCTGAAGCTACAATATCACATAGAATTTTCAATTAGATTTGCATACTGTGTCTCCATTTGTGTGGGAAGGATGTTGCCACTCACATAGTTATGACATATTTATTTAACCCTGAGACAACGTGGCAGCACGATGGCTCAGTGTGAACACTAATGGACTAATGAATGGATGGAAGCAAGATGCAGAGGAAGTTGAACTTGCCCTAAAATGGTTTAAAAGAGCAAACAGTTCAACAGCCAGGATTCACAAACACAGGAGATGACTCAGTCAATGCATAACAGCTAAAATAGAGATGGAGATGCAGATCAAGCTGGATGGACAGTCAGTGACATCGAACATACACCATGAGTTTTAAAACTTCTGACACTGTGAATGAGAATAACTCCGAGTATTGTGTAATCATGTAAAATAAAGGTTATTGGTCTACATGCAAGGTACATTTACTTTGTAAATGCATAAGTGAGTGTGGCCTTTTTCAACAATGGATTATTTGTGGTGAAATAAAAAGCTAACAATCAACTCAATCATGAAAAAACCTTAGGCCCAGTTTTAAAAAAAAATCTGATTTTCAAGAACTTCTTACAGGAGTTGAATTTCACCATTATAAAAACATTATAAAACGCCTTTGCCAACATATTGATGATGAAATTGTTTGGTAACAATTTAGCTGGGAAACATTCATAAGTTCCCCTTGCTATGATTTTTTTATTAACGTGTGTGGGGTCGCTCTGGTTTTGAATATCAACCAATATTTCTAAAATTTAGCTGTGCGAACCAGGCGTTAGTGTAAGAAGTTTCTTGGTTTGATCGCAGACCTGGGGTCTTTCTGTGTGAAGTTTTCATTTTCTTTTCATGCTTGTGTGGGTTTTCTCTGGATTCTGGTTTCTACAGACAAAAAAACATGCATGTTAGGCTGCCTCTAGGCCCAGGCCTCCCTTGCAAAAGAGATCAGTGGGACTTGTCTGGTTAAATAAAGGTTAATACGATATCAAAATGAAAGTATTTGTGTAACTCCAAAGTGACAACACTGGCACGGCTTTCTTTCGACGGGCTTTTTTATGAAATGCCGTGAAAACTATAAAAACAAAACACAAAGCTTTAGACAGATACATTTACAGACAGACAGGTGACATGTGCTTTAACAAAGTTACCTCGTGGCCGCCTGCCACTTCGGAGGTTGGGTTTTAGAAGAACATCACTTCGTTATCTGTTCTAAATCAAAGTATTAAATAATTAAAACACCACAACCAATAAATTTACAAAATACCATAACAACACGAGACAAGGCTGCTGCACGTGCTCACCTCCAGGCTTCCACTCCTTCTCTGTTCATCCAAGTCTCGCAGCACAATCACATGTACACAAATCTCGCGATAACTTCCAACAAAAAATAGTTCGACACGAAATAAAATATAATCATTTTACAAGAATCTCAAAACGTAAACAAAACTTAAAATACATAAACCTAACAGTTAGAAATAAACATACATTTTTTCGTAACATAAATTATTTTAGTGACACTTACAATTTGCATATAGAAAATGCATATTTAAACATACAACGTAGGAGCTACATAAATAATATGAAGTGTATTTTCATTTTTAGTTAAGAAAATGTCAATTTGTTTATTTTTAAATTTAATTTAATTAATTTATTTATTTATTGCATATAGCCAGAAATATGAGCTGTCTGTAGCTTCAGTTTTGGGGTTTTGGTTATGTGTCTAATTATTATACATGTCAGTAACACATACATAGACACACTTCTACATTAGCAGCAAGTACTGTATATTCAGCATCAGCATATATGAAATTTTTATATAAGTGGTAATGTCAACACTAGACTCAACTTTTTTTCAAAGAAAGAGGAAAAGTTAAAAGAACTAAGTCAACAGAAATAGAAAACAGAAAATACTGTTTGACCCCAGTACTGGGGGCATGGGACTCAAGAGGTTAAAATAAAAATTTATTCAGTTTATTCATTGTTTTTGTTGCCTGTCACTATCCTAAACCAGAACTTTGTTAAACTTCTTTCAAGCTGAAAAAACAAAAGTCGTGGATCAATGACAAACACCTCCGGACGTACTGCTATGGCACTCACTACGCCCTCACTCTCCTGGCAGATGGGTACAAGTTTGACAAAGAGACCTGGAAAAACATTCACTTTGAAAAATCCGTGAGTTGAACACAAACAAAATCATTCTAACAGGTACTGGATTTTAATTACTTGAATCACTGTACTGCAACAAAACTATGCTCATGTAATGAAAAAGCTAGATTACAACTGTTGAACTGAGCAGCTGAACAGGTTTTTTTAATCATTTTTTTGACTCATGTACAGGATTGTAAGTGAGGCCACCCACTGGGGACTGAGACAGATCAGATCACTGACATGCTAATCATTCACTCTCAATAACTCAAAACTTGAGTGGAAATCATGAAATGTCCTTTTCCATACTCACACTTTGTCAGAAAGAAGGCTTTCCTTGTCTTTTACAATCAATCTTTCTCGCATGGGACACAAAACACTGGTGAAGGGAATTATTAAGAGCCCTGGAGGCAATGTCAAAGGCTGCAAAAAGTCAGACAACTTGCTACAATTTCCTAATTGGTCGTAAACTGTTCTGAGGCTGATCTGTTCCTGAGGAAGTTACAGCGCTTCTCTGTTTGAACAAGTGAGTTAGTGTGTTCTCTGTGCCGCTCAGAGCCTTTTATGACCGTTGGTAGACCATTGTAGACAGAATCACCAAACATTTCTGCGCTGTGAATGCTATGACTCATGCTTTTTACCCTGGAGCGATTGCTGTTTAGCTTTTATTACAAGATGGTCTATATGTGAAGCTTTTCTAGACATGCAGAGTGATGTGATGATGTACAGACAGCGCACAGAACAAAGACTCTATGGTTGTACAGTCATTTTCTGTTCTTCCTTTCAGATAAAGGATACGCACATAGGCTGGAGTTTGGGCTACATGCTGAGTTTGTCCAACATGATCCCGTCTGAAGTGAAAGAAATCCCCCCGCTGACAAATCCCGTCTTTGCCGGCCTTATCTTTTTATTTTCAGCATTAACCATCGTGACTGCTGTTCTAGTGTTTATCACTCTCATTCGCACTTGCTACTGAAAATGGGAGTAACAGAGGGATATAGCAAGAACACCGAGGGGCGTTTTGTAAGTTGTAGGAATGTACTACAGTAGCATGTGCTGAGGCATGTGTTCAGAGTTGCTGATTGAAATGTTTATGTTTTTTTCTTTCAACTTAATCCACTGAGGCAAGCTTCACATGAAATCTGCGACTGTACATAGAAATGATTGAAATTTAATTCTCCACTTTTTAATGCAAGTAAATACGTGCTAAGCAAAGTCCATGACCTGCAGTATAATTTAACAATATGTAGAAAATAGTCAATTAAAAAATGTTCTCTTGACTTTTGTTTAAAACCATCCTACCTATTGAGCTTGTACAACTTATATCAGAGGAACATGTGATCAATGTTTAAATGTCACCCTGTATGGTAAGCTTCACGTTAGTACCATGTTGTGCCATTCCTGGTCAAAGTGGGAAATTTACTCCTAAAATCATCAAAAAAAAAAAGTTGTTAGGCTGAAGATGTTGCCCAAAGGACAACTCAAACGGGCCATTTCACTGTTTTCAAAAAGAAAAACAAGCAGTATAGGTTGGCCAGCGACATCACTACATTGACTGAATGTTTCTGTGAGGTTCTCAGATTGGCTTTGTCAGGGTCAGCCACGGAGCTGGTGGACAGTCGAGAAGACTCGCTTCTCCTTGATTCAGTTTCAACTAAATGTGTCTTCATTTCCAGTTCCTGTAAGGTTTTTGAATTCAACCCAGCTGTGGTTCCAGGCGGGTCACACCGAGCGTTGCACGCATGCAATTGTGACGTCATCAGACTGCTGCCTGTGGATTGACTAAGCCATGGCAGAACTTGCAAACTCCTCCAGCAAACCTTACCTTTTGATCTGTTTTAGGAGATGAGCGCATACAGCTTGAGCTTGATCGAAATGAGCAGGTACACCAGGAGGTTTTGGACAAACTAGTTGTAAGCCCTTTTAAACAGTGCTGAGTCACATAAAAAAAAGTCAGACTACCGGATGATCAAACCACGATGGCCAAAGCTGCCTGTTGACGATCTGCCCACAGAAAGCGAACCAAACAGACAAGAAGCGATTGTAGTGAGATCTGACAATAGAGAAGAGGCTTAAGTAGGAAGACATTTTCTGATAGTTTCAAGTGTGTCCCGACCACCTCTCCTCCAGATTTTCACTCTCCATGGGGGCTCTGGTGTTGGACACTCTCCCCTATCTTCAACATGTTCCTCAGTCCCTATTTGTCCAATAATAGATCCCATTTTTGTTGCCGGTTGCCCCACTGTCTAAATAAGACTAGTCTGGGTTATCCCCCAGCCATGCCCCTGCATGTCTCTGGGGTCTGGTTTTCTGCTCAGAGGGACTCTGCGATGTTTGAGAATAAGGCACATTTGGAGGCTCAGTGTGAGGCACAGTCTGTGCTCAAACCTCAGAACTCCATCTTCAGTGTGGTGCAACAGTCTTAGAGAATAATATTTACTATGAGTCTCCAAGCTAACTGTCATACACAGAATATGCCTGTCCATCATGTGGGTACAAACACTCAGGACAACACCAACACTGGTTATGTTTAAATGTGATAGAATGTTTTAGTCTCTGAGTGTCCTGTAGATTTGCGATAGTAGAGAACAAAATGTTAAAAAGGTAATTTTGTTGGATTTTTACCTCAGGGAAACTCAAACCGTTTCAGACAGTTATCATTTATTTGACTTTGGTCAAGAAAATGCACACAATAGTAGAGTGATGAATGAATTGGCAGCAAAAAAAATATAATAATAAAGATAAATAAATAAAAAAGTCCATTTGCCCACTGTATGATTTGAAAAAAAAAAAGTAATGTCCTGATGAGATTCTAGATGTGTATTCACATGTGTTATAATAGAACTTCAGGCAAAAAGCAAGTGATACTAACTCTTTTGATCATCATGCTTATTCCTGTGTAGTACATGTTATTGCATTAAATGCATCCGCTTGATTTAAGAATAATGCAGTGTTTAAAACTTGTTGGTGCTCAACAGCACTCTGCTGACTGAAAGCCTCCCAATAACCCACTGAAATGTTTATTGTGCCATTTTAAAAAATCTACTGGACCTTCTTGCTTCTTAAAGTTTTAGATCTTTTTTTGAAAGACTTCAGTTTTAATTTAATCCTTTTGGCTCTCAAAGAGTCAAAGTTCCACCCTATCATCGAAAAAACAAAACAGCTTTTGAACAAAATTTAAAACACCTTGTAGAACCAAGAAAGGGAATCTAGCTGCTCTCAATTGAAGCACTTAGCAAATATTAGTGTTACATTGTGTTATTATTAAACTGTCTCATCATAATGTTGGAGGGAATAATTTCTTTATAAAGAAATTACAAAAAAAATGTAAAACTTTTCATAAAGTTCCAAATGAAGGTGATTACATAAACATGTCAATGTCAATGAAAGAAATGTAAATTTGTGTTGTTTTTATGGTCTGACTATCAATCAATACATGCATTTCGTTAACATTATTGTTGGGCTTGAGAACATAATGCTAATTTCTCATTAGATGCACACTGTTTCGGGAGCATCTTAATGTTCATTATTATTCTAGTGCATAATAAACATACCCTGTAACTGCATCAGCTGTGATTGTTGCTCTATAACCTCACTAATGAATTTTCTTGAGGTCGGTTTATGTTAAGCTGAAATATTAATGATATGAACCTTCTTTTGTAATTGATGTCATCAAGAACAGACAAGTGTTAAAGTTCAAATATTCATATTAAAATCACTTAGACTTTATCTTTTTCCAACCAGTAGTAAAACAAATGCCTAAAATAGTTTTTATGAACAAATTAAAATAAATGTTTAATCGTTGCTATCAACCATGTAGTTAAACAAAAACATTATGGCACCCTCTAGTGGTCATATATTGTACATGCAGGATGAAATACATTGACTCTTATTTGTCATTGTTTTATTTTTAATTTTTTTTATTTGAAGTTTTGTCTAAAAAGAAAACGAAACAAAACAAAAACAAAAATAAAAAAACAGAAAGACACGTGAAACTACAGCAATACCCACTGGTTCTACAGACACTCTCAAAACCACAACTCGAACAACATGTTACTGAGCAATAATCTTTTTTAAAAGCATCATCAAAGTTATTTTTCAGTTGCATTTTCTTTTACACACCTGAACCAAAAATTAAAAAAAAATAAAAATAAAAAAAACACGTCATAGTTTTCCTTTTCATTTCACTCTTCCTATGTTCTCTCTTCCTGTAAAAAGTTTTTTTTTTTTTTTCCACAAGAGGTTTGTAATCAAGAGGTTTGAATCACCTTTTATCTCCTTCTGCATCTCCATCTACTTCTGTTTACTGGTTGGATAACAATGTACGGCAATCATCAAGGGTCAGAAAATATTATTTTGCTCCTTCACAAGTCTTCATTTGGGCTTAAAAATGTATTGTACTGTTGTTTTGGTAGTGCGCTTTTTCCACATATACCGCAAAACAAGACAGGCTTAACCCTCAATACTGAAAAGTATTTAGCAGCAAAAACGTTACAATTAATATTTTAAGACAAAACATGTGCACAAAAATTGCCCTTTTAGGAGATTATACCTAATCTAAAATATTTTCATTCTGAAAACATGCCCTTTTGTCTTCTTTCATTAATCATCTCTTACTACAGAGACTTCTGTTTGGTGAGATGCTGACAGAAAACAGCTTGTTTAACGTTTTATTATTTAATCATAAAACACTCATGGACAAAACAAAACAAAACAAAAAAAAGATAAGTATTAAAGGAAAAAATTGATTTGGCCACAGTTTGGGCCACATGCAGACTAGCTATGAGTGTAAAACCAGCACCAGAGGGCAGACTGGAAGTGACGGCATCATGTGTGGAGCAACAGTGTTATCAGGTAGTTGCCCAAGCATTCAACAGTCAGTCAAATCACCAAGTGAGGGTCAGTAGACACAGAGGACATTAGACATGAGCTGGATAAAGCTTGTTAGGGGTCTTATTGTAGGTTTCCATGAAGCCAGGTGCTCATATTGTGTACCTCTGGGACATATGGACCGTACAGAAATCACAATAAGTGATGGTACCCACACACGTTATGAAGGTTGACCAGAACAGACCTCACCTAGGGATTATTGAACTATGCACCAATCGTTAGAAGATCTGTACGTGCCATCAATACACAGGTACTGGACTGGTACTTGTGTCATCCTCCACCATGTCACAACGACTAACATCAATCAATCAGTTCACTGCCCAAAAGGTGTGCTGCCATTAATCCCAGTGTGTTTGCAATGGTGCTCTAATCCAGAGGCATGAAATTATGAACAGTAATGTTGTATTCAAGGAGGAGTCTTAGTTGAAAATTATAACATATGGCCATCATGTGCACGTTTGGCACCAGTGCAGGAAGAGAGACAGACTTAGGCTGCATGACACTGCAGGTCTTAATGCTCAACTACAATGTTTTACTCAAATCCAATTATTTGCATGGACATTCACATATTTTAAATACGACCTCCATCAGACTCCAGTGTGAGCTCTCCATGGTACTGATGCGACCTGAATGTCCGGATAATTATGTGACATTCAGCACGCCGTTTACCAAAGGAAACATGGATGCTACACGTTAGCATGCCAATTCTGAAGTTGTTGAGTCAGAGCCAATTAAATAATAATCTGACATGCTTGTTTAGTCCACTGTTATATGTAAACCTGCCTTTAGCCAGCTACTGCAGCACAGCTTTGTATTTATGGAGCAAAGCGGCGTGCTGAAAGTGAAACCAACTAAAGTATCGATACAGTAACTTCAGTACTGATATGCTCTGAGTCAGACGTCACTAGCATGTATTTCTGTGGGCTTGAGCTGTTCACCCCCACCTCACTGACATAAAAGTAGGATGAAATGCAGACTGAAGCTGCTTTAAAAACACCAGATACTGTATATACAGTATCTGATGTAGTATACCACATACTGAAAAGGGCAGACTATCATGAACTTTCAAGAAATCTGATAAGGGTCGCATGAGTGGGGAAAGAATACAAAAACTGGATTTGGAAAAATACAAAAGCTGGATTTGGGTTGCATTTGCCTGCTGTGTGAACTAGTGATGGGATAAACGGCTCTTTGAAGGGATCCGGATCTTGCGGAGCCGTTTGCTTCATAGAGCTGTTCAAAGGAGCTGTTCGATTTTGTACGAGTTACGTCATCACATGGGGAAAAACATCATCACGTACGGCAACGCAATGACGTCATCACCTTACATGGGTGGAACCACGTGTTTTGTTGAGCAGAAACCCCCCCCTCCCCCTTTCATGTGAGCTTCTGTACTCGACTGCTCTGCCTGTTTCCCGTGAAAAAGCAAAGCAGGAGCAATTTAAGGATGAAAAAATAAAGATTATATAAGAAATAAAATAAATAAAACTACAAATTGCTTGTTACTCCCCGCGACTCGGCTCCTGTTGTTTGTTGTAAAGAGCCATTCAAAAGATTCGGATCGTTCGTGAACGTCCCATCACTAGTGTGAATGCAGCCTAATATTCATCTCTAGTAGTGTTTTAGGAAACCTTGATGGCACAGCGCTACATCAATCACATCCTGCGTCCACGTCTCACTCTCCTGAGACAACACTCGGGTACAGACTGTCAACAAGATAACACCCATCAACACGTGTCTATAAACTGCCTACATCTTCCCGAAGTCCTCCTGGAGACAGCCAGGACCCCCAATCTTGTCCAACATGTGTGAGATCAGCTCAGATGAAAGACCTGGACAGTTCCAACAGCTGTGAGACAACTTACTGCAGGAGGATACAACACCTTTATGACTCATTTAAGCATGTAATTACTGCTTGTGTTTCAGCATGAGAGGTTTCTACACCCTACTAACATAAGACCATCACCGTGCCTAAACTGTCAACAAGATACTTTTATATATTTGAACACAGTCACATGATCTTTGAATATGTGTGATTTCTTTTGTTTCCACTACTCCATCTTAATGATTCCTTTTTGTTAGTGAATTTTTAAGAAGCAGTCTGTGAAGTAGATGGGTTTTAGTTTAGAACAGACACCTACATCCACTGGACAACTGAATATTTCCTTAGATGTTACCTTAAAAATCACGATTTTTAAAAATATTACAAGTTGAGGTAATTGATTTAAAGACCTACTGCATGTTGTCACTGTAGTCATCTCACAAACCAAATCTCTGAAACCAACAGCAAGAAAACATTTCAGCTTTCAAGGTGAAAAAAAAAGAAGGAAGATCACTTTTCTACACAATTTCTTCATCTTTGGTATAAAATCTGCCACCTGTAGGCTGTTCAACAGTTAAGAAAGACTCAAAAAACTGTCAACGGTTTTACTAAAACTATTGCTTTTTGCACATTTAAAAATCCTAACTTTTTTTTCTATTTGGTTTTTGACAAAGTCAGAAGTTCTTTTTTATGCAGTGAGACCAGCGAAGCACACAAACAAATAAAAAAAACATTTTTTTTAAATCTGCAATGAAAGAAAACAAAATATAATATGTATAAACAGAAATGTGGTGGAGAAACAAGGTTTTATCCATCAATTAAACCAAACAGCATTATTGAAAATGCAGTAAAATCACACTAAATATTTTTTTTCTGTCTTGACCAGCCAACATCTTCTGCACCCATTGATTTAAAATCATCTTCATACAAATACAGCCTATTTGTTAAAATCCTGTACAGATAGCTTTTTAGATTTGTATCTCTGAGGCCCCAAACACATCTCAAATCATTCAACCAGTCTCTTTTTTAAAGAATTCAACACTTCGGAAACATGTTTGCCCCCCCAAAGTTTGTGAAAATTAAGGCAATAAGAAGTTCAGGAAACATTTAAGATTCTAAAAAACTACTCAAATGAGGAAATAATTCAGATACTATAGCTTAAATTCAAAAGGAAGACAGTCTGTTTCTCCTGGACTTTACTTCCTTTCTTTTTTTATTGATAAAAAAGTCAGAAAATCTACCTGCACATTCAAATGATTTTTTCTGTACAGCGGGTTGAGCTTTGATTTCAGTCTCTCTCTCTCTCCCTCTCTCTCTCCCTCTCTCTCTTTTTTTTTTGTTTCCTTTAGAAGAAAACCCAGTCTCAAGGTGAAAAATGATCAAATCAAAGTCTTGGACTGTGATTGATTTCATTGTCCTTTAGGTCAGCAAACAATTTGTTTTTTTCTTGATTCAACCAGGTATGGAGAAGAATTGATTTTCTTCTTCGTTCTGTCTTTCATTTGGTTCCTCTGCACAGTGGAAGTGTTGTCTGCTCAGTGATGTCTGGATCACTTGTGTGTTTTGGTCGTCTGTCGTTCCGGTTCTTTCTGTCATTCCAGCAGCTTGGTGCTGTCCTAAAGGCAATGCAGCGATAGTTCCTAGCAGTCTTGTTATCTAAAGGGAGACAGAAGAGTCAATAAAAACGCAGTAAGGTGACTGAAGGAAGTTAGGAATAAGTTATTTAAAAACAATAAACCAAAAGAATGAGGCAAAATATTCTTAGAAGAACTAATATAAAGAACCAGTGAATGGATTTAATCAAACTCAGGCAGTAATCATTGATCTACAACTGAATAAACAGTGGATTTAATCCTAGACTTAAATTATTAAAGATAGCTGCCACAGCCAATTAACTTTCATCAACACAAAAAAGGCTGCAACTCAGTACACTTTACACATACTGAGCTAAAGTTTGATATGGTAGTGTACCCACTTACATTGAGCTCTGTTTACACATAAAAAAATCTCTGGAAACATTAGTGTTTTTCTTTTGTATTGTGGCAAACCAACGTGAACAGAAAAGGTTTACATGGATATAAATGATGCTGTGATTTTTGTCTTTCACTGACACTCGAGCAGAAAGACATTTCAGTCTTTACCATAAAAACAGTTCCATTCAAAATGATAAATACTGGACCGTTCCTTTGGGCCGAGGATGAGGTTGCATTGCTCCTACGTGAAGAAAAAGGTGAGCAGCACAAAGAGCACTCTGCTATCTGTCAATGTTAAGGTTGTTCATGTAGTTGCACAAGTGCAGAAAAACTATTGACTGCAGCCATCTGTACCGCGAACAGATAATTTCACTCTGATGAGTGTTTCCACAAAACCTCTGCTCTGACATCTGGATCAAAAGGCTTTGCTGTCAAAGAATACAAGTGCTGTTGTTGTGTACACGAAACACCAAAACACAATAATTTTAAATTGAATGGAATTAAAGGAGGAGCACCACACAAATAAAAATATCTTGTTTTCTTTAATAAATATGTAACAAAGTTTAAAGTAATGATTCAGTGCAACAAAATAAATAAATTTTAAAGGTAAAAGATAACATTACATAATAACACTTGCTCTTTCACATAATTCAGCTGTGTTTCCCTGTATGGGAGCATTACAAATAAATAAATAAATAAATAAATAAATAAATAAATAAATAAATAAATAAATAAAATACCAGAACCAATGGTTTAATCCAAGTTTTGTCAGAACTTCCTAGCCTCATTAACTTTTATTTTATTCATTTTTTAATGATTAGAATTCTAGGGCTGCTCTTCCTGGGTGGGTTTCAGGGAACGGGAGGGCTTACTGGGGCCAGCGGGGGAGCTGACTCCCTGTGGGAGCATTTTGCTCCTTCAGCTTATTCTCCCCATCCCTCACCGCACACCTCCATCCTCTTCACTTTCAACTTCACCCATGTAGGGTTTTTTTGGGGCACAGTTGTGGTATAAGAGCAACAATATTACATTTCTATTTGTCATAACCACCTGGCCCCCAAATTTTATGGTACATCTTAGACATTCACTCATAACATTTTCATGAAATTCACATATAGGAACTTAAGATGGGCACTCATGGCTATAGGTGGCCGGATGGCACCACTCTCGCCTCCTGTGCCTGTGCCCACCCCCCAAGGTTTGCATATAGACACTTAGGGTTTTGGGTTAGAGTAGTGGTGGAGGGGAAACTGGCACCACGCCGGCCTCTGCCTCTTCTTCTTTCCCTTTTTAAATTGCTCTATAGAACAACACGCACCAACAGTACATCTGGGGGTGGGGGTGTGGGTGTCAGGGTCTTTATTTCCACCCCGTTCCACGACTGCCATTTGGGAAGGGGGTCCTGAAGAAGGGCGGGCCACCGAGTGCGGTCCTGGGCTGTGGGTGGGCTCAGGGCTTGGACGGTTGCCGGGGGGTGGGGCTGGCTCTCCATCATCCTTGGTGCTGATTGGTCTCCTGAGGTGTGGCTCTTGGTTCCTGTGGGTGGCCCCCTGGCCGGGGTGGCTGCCGGGTTCTGGGGGGTGGACGGCTGTGGGGGTGCACTTGGTCGTTGGCGGTATGTTTGGGTATTTGTCAGGCTGCGGTCTGGGCTGCCCCTCCTGCTGGTTTATCTGGGGGCCTGCTGCTACTCGGCCCCCAAGTAGGGTGTGCGGCTGGCCGCCGGCATGCTGGGGGTTCCCGGGGTCTGGGGCTGGGCGCTGGGGTGTGTGCCGGCCTGGCCTGGTGACTGCCTGCTGGGGCTCGGGGCCTCTGGCCCTGTCAGGCTTTGGCCTGGGGGGGGGGCTGCGCCCTGGGAGCCCGGACCTCTGTGCCCTTTCCTGGATCTGCTCTGGTAAGACGGGTGCCGGTGGGGCCCATGAGTTTGTCGCTGCTGGCCCCAGGGGCTGTGCGTGTGGTCACTGGGGGGACTCCCCCAGTTCTCCCCTATGGTCTGATCTGGGGGGTGGATGGGCAGATCTTCCCGTGCGGGTGCCCCTTGGGGCTCTGCGCTCGGGATCCCTCTCAGGCCCTTGGGCTCTGGTCTTCCCTATGTCTGCCTCGTGTCTTGGGGGTTGGGTCTCTGATCCTCCACAGTCACTATTAAATATTCCATTGGAGAAATCTTGTATATACACACATGTTCACAACCGCTCACAAACAGGTGTTCTGATCCGGGGGGTTCTGACTGGTCACTGAGTGTGTATATATGTCTGTGTGTATATACTGACAATACTTATGAATGTAGGCATGTATGTATGCATATCTTTATATTTGTATGGGTATGTGTATATATTTATATATGCCCTCCATGTATTCATTTATTTTTCAGGTGAGCGGACAGATGTTGGGTGTGTGGTCCTGTGTTGTCTTGGTGTATATTTAATATACTTCTAATCTCTATTTCAAGCTTTCTAATTACTTCTCTCTGTGTTTTTCTCTCTTTCTCTATTTTCTCTTCACTCTAAAAAAAGGTCACTGATGATGAAGAAATAAATAAACTAATAATATTTAGTTTCATTATCTACTGAAGTGACAAAAAAAGACAAAAAAAATCAGAAATCTGAACTGTTGTTTTGTCGTGATACTTTATCCCACTCACTTTGTTTGCTGGAAGGAATAGGCTGTGGCATGATCTCCTGTACTCTCACTCACTGATAAAGGCTGTTGCCCGCTGGCGTCCTGCGACGAGGGGGCAGTTGTCTGTGGAGACGGGTCTGTCACCACACCCTGAGCAGAAACACAGAAACAATCAATGTCATACATCAAATCTTAGATGCTGAGAGGAAAAAGAAGGTTTCACTGCAAGCTTGCTGCCTTGGACAACTAAGAAAATCCCATTTTCATTCACATTTCATGCCATTCTTTTAAATCAGTGTTCAGTGGACACACTATAAAATTAATATCTTACCTGTTTTAAATAGTTTTTTTAATGACTTCAAAGATTTTAATTCAGACTTTCTGGATAAGGTAACAACTAGTCAGAGCAGGGCCAAGACTAAACTGAATTTATCTTATTTTAAAATAACTTTACTTTAAGAATTGTCATTTTCATTGATGCAAACACTATTTTAAAAACCTTTATGCTGCTCTCTGTTTCACATAACACATGCATCTACATTAGTCAAAAAGTACATAGTGTCTGCAGCAGCTAGATGTAGCACGTCTGACAGATACAATTAGTATTTCCACCAGGATAGCCTTAAGAGACAAAACTAATAATGATGTAAAAGTTAATAAAACTAGTTTGAAGTTGGAGTTGTTTTGAGACAGCAGTAAACATCTTTTGTCTCAACTCTGCTCAGACTAGCCCTTAGCTCATCAGTCCAATCAATCTTAATAACTTACTAAAATACTAAAATGATGTAATCCAAACAGCTATCTGCAAGAGGTGTGATAGTTTTTGTTTGTAACCATTTCTGCAGATACTGCTACTACTACTACTACTACTACTACTACTACTA